ATAAATAAACAAAAAATATTTTCAACAGACAGTGGGATGGAAAATGACTCATAGGAAAACAGAGTATAAAGTATACTCTAGTATTAGGTATTACATGTGTCGAGTTTCTGTTTTGGATCCAAGAATGCTGTGGTTTTTCTCCAAGGATTATGCCATTGTGGAATAATGTCATTGTGGAGTATTTAGTCAAGACGAGTTGATCGCGTCTGGTGGTTACTTGCAAATAGATATCTCTGTATTACTTTTTTTTTCAGCTTTTGGAAAATCTTTGACAAGCAGTTTTCATGAGACTGCAGTCAGATTGTTGCCATCACTGGTCCCAGCCTTGCCAAGTACCAGGCCAATTGCTGGAGTCATGCTTTCTAGCTCTTTTTCCACTACCACAGGGGAATCTTTCTGTTCCCTGGGGACTAATATGAACAGTTGGGGTACCCTCTTTCAGCCTGATCACCAGCATGACCAAGCTTAGTAAAGCCAGTGGGAGCCACCACATGCGTGAGGGTAGAAGGAGCGGGTTTTGGTTGTTTGTAATAATACTGAGTTAATAAAGTCCCCCCAGTGACTGAAAGTGGGAGAGAGAACTTGATCCTAGCAATTTGTATGGTATTTGGAAGAGTGGGGTATGCAAATGTTAACAAGATTGGTTGTGGGTTATTGGTGGATCCTGTGCAGAATAACCCTCTAATTCCTTAGTTTGAGGAGTATAACGAATTTCCTGCCCAGGCCTCAGGACACTACATAAGAACATAAGCACGGCCATACTGGGGCAGACCAAAGGTAGGGTTGCCAGATGGCTGAACCAAAAATACCGAACACTCCGCAACCCTCCCCAAAAAAAACACTGGGGAAAAAATTCTGTTGAGGGGAAAAAAAGGGGGGGGGGAGACTAAAGTTGTTGAGCAAAAAATAAATAAATAAAATAATAAAACATCATTAAAACAGCATGGCTCCTTTCAGAGTGAGTGCAGAGTTAGAATAGGGAAAGGAACAGGGGAGCGGTTGAGCACTAAGACCCAGGAAAGGCATTGCTTCCCCTTGGTCTTTAGGCTTTTTGCCGGTGGCCATTTTGTGTTCTTGTTCAAGCCAGAACTTAGCTTCCCGGCGGAACGAGGTAAGCATGGGATCCGGAGTCAGGGGACTGGGGGTGTCGGGGCCTGGGGGGGAGGGGGCTGGGCCTGGCTTGGGTTGCCAGGTGTCCAGTATTTTCTGGACATTTTTGGTGTCCGGTATTTTCTGGACATTTTCGGTGTCCAGTATTTTCTGAATTTTTTTTACCAGACAGGACGCGAAAATACCGGACTGTCTGGGTCAATATCAGACACCTGGAAACCCTAAGTCCAAAGGTCCATCCAGCCCAGTGTCCTGTCTGCCGACAGTGGCCAATGCCAGATGACCCAGAGGGAGGGAACACAACAGGTAATCCTCACATGATCCCTCCCCTGTCACCCGCCTCCAGAGAAACAGAGGCTAAGGACACCATTCCTACCAATCCTCGCTAATAGCCATTGTACTTCATTGTATCTCACTTGCTTCCTTAAGCTTTGCCTCTCCCCTGTGAGTGTACTTGTACCCCCTTGGAAAAGGTCTCTCGCGAGTGACTTGCCCAAGTCACAGGGTGAGCCGACACAGAGCCGAGAAGAAACTGCTCATTCCCGGGTCTCTGCTGTAGCTGAGGCATGCATCTTGTAGTTACACTTCCAGTGCCGCCGGCCCCAGAAATATCTGTTTCTGGTGCATGCCAATGAAGCCACACACCCCCTGCCAGTTATTTAAATGAGTTAAAAATAAACCTTTTACAGGAAAGTTTGGTTTCCAGCCTCTGTGGGAAAAGGGTACCTGCTAACTCTTCAAAATGTTAGGTAAAGTAACTGCAACATTGCTTTTAACTGCGTCTCAGATATTCTACCCATATAGAAATCCATGTCCAGGCTGTGGTTATGACCACAGCTGTGGGTTTGACAGTCTAAGACAGACTGTAGGTAAGAGGCATTTAAGTGTGTTGAGAAAGTGTTGTAGCATGAACTCTGAAAAAGGGCTTTCAGTGTCGCTTCTGTCTTTTGTGAGTCAGTTAAATACTTTCAGAGCAAACTTTGAAAATACTGAAATCACAGACGGCTGGAGGCAAATAAGATCGTGTGGCTGGGGAGGGTCTGTTTTTAACTGCAGCAAACGTTGCAGATTTAATTTACACACACACACAGGCTGTGTGGACAGCTAGGGTGACTGCACACACAAACTGCCGTTTGCATGTGCAGCATTGCTTCTTATTATTGCCACTAGCACCTTACAAGCCCCAGCTGAGATTGAGATTGGAGTCCAAATGGGCTGGATGCTGAATATAACAAAACAAACAAAGTGTAGGAGGTGAAAGAGACTGTTCAGTGATGTGCCTATGGACACACGGTAGGTCAGTGTCAGAGCTAGAAAACCCCATCTCTCTCTTCTTTTTTGTGAGTGGGTAATGCACTGAGGGCATCTGCAGAATGGACTGTATGGGTGGCTGTGCATTTATGTTTGTAGTGACGATTTTTTGTGTTTTGAGATGGCGATGCTTTGGTTTGGGGAAAGCTACCACAGTTTATACTTGTTTCTACCCATCTGGTTGTAGTTCAAATATATGTCGAAAGTGGCTAGTGCCCAGTAGAATAAAGACATCCAATAAAATAGTGTCTCGAGTTTTGAAAATCAGACTCCCTGTCATGACTGTTTGCAATTTTGAGAGCTCCTGCCAATCCCACTAACATCTTACTTATCTGAGAGAGCTGGCTGAAAAACAAAAATACTGTGAAAATCTAGCCTGGTTTTATTTTGCATGGGGGAGGGGATATGAGTTCTAGATGTCAATTAAAAATGTCAAAACTTGAAAAAAATCTCCCCAGATTTATAGTTGATTGCGAAACATGGAAAGAAGTCATGAAAAAAACCCCACTTGTATTATTATCAAAACAAGAACTTTTTGCAGTGCGTGTGTGTGTGAGAGAGAGAGAGAGTGAGCAACTTTGCCAACAAATGAAATTTCAGAAAGTTTTGACCAGCTTTCTGATTTGGACCATTCCTCCTCCATTCTGTCTCTCCCCCTCTACCCGAAGCACTCTCTTCTCCCCTCCCCAATACACATACTTCACTAATAAAATGTTAAATGCCCTTCAGAGTTTTCAAGAGAGAACAAGACATGTCACAATGGGTCCATCTTGGAGGGAGTTTGGATATAATACGGGTCAAGAGACCGTGGCCCAGTCAGTGTGAGGTAAAGGCTCTTTGGTCACAGTCCACCACTGTGCACAGCCAGTAATGCAATATCCTTGCTATAATGCAATTATTGTTCGCGGGTCTGTTGACCTGAAACCTAACACATTGCTCAGATAGTGCTCCCGGGCAAACCTCCAGCTATATATACACGTACGGACTGGAAGAAAATCCAGTTCTCCATCCAGTTGGATGTTTAAGTGGATTAAGCTACCCCTTAACCCCCTCCGCCTCCCCAAACACACACTGCGGGGCTTTTTAAATTGGAAAGTTTGAAGAATTCCCTGTAGGGCCTGATAGAATCCCCCATTTCTGGCTCACTGGGGATTTTGTCCTATTAGCCATGACAGGAAGTGTGTCCAGTGGTCTGGAAATGTACCCCATGCTGTCAAAAGAATGAGGGTTAGTCTCTTCAACTTGTGCTCAAAGTTCACCCCTGTCTAGTTAGTACAGTAGCCAGAGGGACTTAGTCTGTCGTCCCATCTCTTACACGCGATCAGTGGACGTGCCAGAGGAGGCATCTTCAGTCCTTGATTGAGGAGCAGAGAAAGGGATGTGGTCTACTCTTCAGCTGGCCAGGGGGGCTACTGATCCTCTCTGAAGGGCGCTGTGTCATGCTGCCATTGAATGAGTTATTCCAATGAATGACGTGAATGTGGGTTGAGAGATGAAGGAGCTAAGAAAGGGTGATCCAAATGTTGGGATCTGCTCAGGATGTTTTCATGGAGGACTTTTCCTCATGGTTTTTTTTTTTTCCTCCATCAAAGGGTGCATCTACACAGCACGGCGTAACGCAAAATAAGCTATGCAACTTCAGCTACGTTAATTGCTTGGCTTATTTTGAAAATGAAATTGGGAGCGTCTACACAGCACTTATTTCGAAACTGAGCACTCTTCCTCCAACTTCCCTTCCTCCTCATACAATGAGAGTTACAGGAGTCGAGTGAGAAGTCCTCCAGGTTGATAGTAGTTCGACATTTGAAATCGCAGCCTGCTGGTTATATGCGGACTAAGTTATTTTGGAATAATGTTGCCGTGTAGACGTACTCAAACTGAGTTGTTGGTCCCCTTTTCTGTTTTTTTGAGAAACCGTGATGAGCTCTCTCTATCAAATAGCTCTAACACAAGCAATTTCAGTACTAGTTTCTCACCCCTACACCTAACCCTGAGCTGGGGGAACCATTTCCAGGAAGGGGAGAGGTATCGCCCTTTTAAGTCAACTGGAAAGGAGGTTTTGTGGTGGGGACGCCTTCTCATTGGCAACTTTTGGTCTTGGGCTAGATCTGATACAAAGATCTAGTTGTCTGAGATTCCATGGAGGTCTCCCGGGAGTGACTTCAGTCTAAACCAGTGTTTCTCAAGCTTTTTTTGCTCATGGCCCCCTCTGAGCCTCGTTTATCTCTGTGGCCTCCCTCATAGCTGCTGTAAGTTGGAAAAAAAGGTACATAATTTACCTAATGTTCCATTTTTTCTATGTGGCCCCCTGGAGGTAGGGCGTGGCCCCTGGGGAGCCATATGGCCCACAGTTGAGAACAAGTGGTCTAAACAAACATGAGCCTTAGCTAATAAGAGATGTTTGCTCTCCAAACTTGACTTGATTATTTCCTTCTAGAGTGTCCTAGGTATTTTTCCCCATTGTGTTTTTATCTAGTATCCAAGGACAAAACTATTAGCAAAAAATCAGAAAAAAAAGTGGCACTGGTCTTTCGATGGATTCTTAAATACAAACCTCTAACTACGATTTCTTCCTAAAGGTTTCTGGCAGCAGAGGACCGAACAGGATCGCGATGTGAGATGTCACATGAATTAGCGCCACACGGAGACATGTCCAAAATTGTACGGCTGCCCATCAGAATGCAGAATATGTCCAGCAACAGTAAGGAAATAGTTTCTTATTTCCCTGTCCTCTACCATAAATCCTGTACAGAATGCTTTCTAGGTGTAGGGCTGACTTGAAAAACTATGAGTAGTCCTGTGGCACCTTAGAGACTAACAAAAATGTAGTGTCATGAGCTTTTGTGGGTATGAGAAGGCCCAAGCTAAGACATGAAAAACCTGAAGAAGTTACTTGTAACAGGGTGGTGCACACCTCTTGTGAATGCCCCTCTCTGGCCGAGTGTGTGCGCCTGCAGTCTCTCTGTTTGTCAGCCGAAAGCCACGTCAGCACCTCAGCCCTCCAGCCAAGTCACACCTTGTGTGATTTAAACCCCTTCCGTAGTACACCTTTGACAGTGGCTCATCTCGGCCCCCTCTGTACAACGTCTCTGAGTCCGTTCCCTCAGTCTGTTCCCCATTCTGATCGAGAGTGGTGCCTCCAGGGCTTCCCTTCCTGGAGACTGTGTCCTCGCCCTTACCTCAGGGCTTTACCCCAGAGTCCCATTATAGTCCGCCGGTCTGCAACAAGCTCACCGCAATGAGCTGTCTGTGGTGCTACTGCTCTCCCAGTCAGCCCAATCGCCCAGTCTTCATCCCTTGAGGTCTCCAGAGGAACTGACTGCTTTCTGGTCCTTCAGCTCCTTTCATAGGACTTTCCTAGCTCTTGATTGGCTGCTTCTCCTGCGGCCACTCTAGGCTGCCTGGAAGACTTCTCTATAGTCCTTTTCCGGGGCAGGATGTGGCAGGACCACAGGGTTTCTGGTGATGGGCCTCAGGGTCTAGTCTACCCCATCACAGGCTCAACCAAGTAATTGCTGAAAGAACTGACTACATATGTTTTCTAAGCACATACACACACACAGAGTTGAGTTGCTTTCCTTGCTAATAATTGTGAATATGTTTATAATAGATACAGCTGGCAGAAACTAACTAAATTAACTAATGTGATTATGCAGTAGGCAGATTTCCTCAGAACTGGTAAGTTTGGCTTTGTACAATCTGCAAAAGGATGAGTCCGTATGGGCAAGCAATACAGCTGTTTGTAACTAGGAAAGATGTATATACGCTGCAGTGTGTGACGTGGCTTGGAGTTGGCAATCACCCCATGCACAGGCCTGGCCAGTGTGGGCAAAGAGTTGTGAAATGCCTAATAAAGTCATGCAAGTGGTGAGCTGGATCCCAGAAAACTGGATGAAGTGTTCTTCCAGAACCTTGTCTGGATAAGCCAAGCGGGAAGGCCTTGGAGAAAATCCCAACACTGTATAGTTCTCTCAGTGCCCCAAGCGAGGTCTTGGTGACTGGAGGAAGCACTTTAATTGTTACATTTTTTAAAACAACTATTGTTTGAAGGCACCAGGCAGGTTCTTAGCAGGTTGAGTTCTATGCTATCATACAAGAGATCCAGGTTTTCTTAGAGGCCTTTGTTGTCATACGGGAGACCCAAGATAGATTCCCATTTTGGTGGATCCCTAGTAGAACAGGTTTTGAAGGTTTAAGCTTCCTGCAAAACCAGGTAGCTGAAATCAGAAGTCAAATGGCGACTTCCTTGCGTCAGTTTAGCATATTTCATAAAAATAAATAAACCCTTCTCTACCAGGGACCCTTCACCTATATTAGCTACTCACTGGTTATTATTAAAGCTGATCTTTGTAGACGTTCAGGTATTCTGTGATATTTCGGTGGTTTTTGGCTATTCATTTTCAGATTCATGTGTGAGAGTTTAAAAAGTGAGAGATGGGGCAGGTGGCTGGGCAGGTGGAGGTTATACCCAAGACAGAACCCTGCCATACCAAGATCCATCATTGGCAGATTTAGGATATTGCATTATGTTACAGTCCCCCTCCCATCAAATAGTTCATTCTCAGACAGGAAGTAATCTAGGCCCAACGTTCTAGAATTTCTGCTGGAGACATGCGCCTACATAACTGGTCCATTCAGTTAGATGCGTATCTGGGCTTCTGAATGTGCACTTGCAAACATCATGCAAGCAAATCCCAGTACATATGTCAGCAAATCTATGTATCTTAAAGTTTCATTCTACCATCTACTACTGTATTATCTGAGCACCTCCCACCTAACATGAATAGCAATAGCAAGATCCCTCGTTGATTAGACGGAGTCACTGACACTCCCCCTCTTTTGGGGGTAGGCTTCTATTTTACTGGGGCATGTTTTGGGAGGGGTTTGGGAATAAAGAGGGGTTGGATGGTGAGTGACATGATGGAAAGGCGTTCTAACAGAGGAAGCCTTTGTTACCTTTCCTGAAGATGGAAGACTTTCTGAAATTAGACTTGGGCATTTCTATGCATGCAGGCCTGCCCTTGGGGGCTGGGGGGTGGAATTGGGGGCAACTGGCCCCGGATCCTTTAAATCGCTGCTGGAGTGCTGGGCGGTGCACTCTGGGCTGCTCTGAAGGCTGAGGAGCGGGAGAGGGAGCTTGCCATAGTCTGGGTGGTGCTAGGGGCACATGGATTTCCAAAAATCGGAGCCCTAATAGGGCTAGGGCTAGGGTTAGCAAGATGGGTTAGGGTTACGGTTGGGCGTCGAGGTTAAATACATGTATATTATGAAAAGGCTTAACAAACAATTCCCACCTCCCCCGCTGCTGCTTTAAAATGCAAATTATACCCTCTCCATCCTGTGTGTGGCCTGCTCAGTTAACGTTACGGCACTTTATTTTACATTTTTTTAAAAACACATCAGTAAAATCAATGTTAGAAAAGCAGAAAACATAAGACCGTGTTTTCTTTGGCATTTTAAGTTTATTTATTTCCAGATCTGCTGGTGTGATGGGCGGTTGCTGTTAATGACTTTACACTTTGTATTGCAAACTTAAGGAGATCTCGTTTAAAGTAATCTAAAACGAACTTGGTCAGGGGCAGTACTTTGGAGATCATCTGGAACTTGGGAAAGGGGTGTGGCTTTCTGGGAGGAGCTTACAGACAAGATTTGGTCAAATCTTTCATCACAGGGCAACAGACTTACTTCTTTGTGTGGATAGAAGTAGTTTTCCTAAAAGGTGTCCAGCTTAGATCAGCCCTGCTGGACTAGCCTAGAAAGATCACCTGGCCAACTCTACGACAGCAAACCGGTATGAGAATTCTACGAGAGAGCAAAAAGAAGTTCAATAATAAAGAAACAGATTGTGTTCATTTATTATTTATGTATTTAAAATAGTCTTACCCTGCCGCTCTATTTAAAATATTGGAGGCGGATTATAACATTTTTAAAACATAATATAAATATGTATAAAAAATTAAAATACGAGACCCCAGAGGACACAAAACCTGCTAAGACATCTCAAGAGGAGATACAGACTCAAACACACACAGACTTTTGAGCTTCCGGGGAGTTGCAAATAATGTGAAAAACGTGCTTTTTCAATCTGATTGATTCTATTCTGGCAGTATCATGAGTCAAATAAAGTCACCAGAACATTTGGGGGATAGAATGGAGAGCAGGGAGAAGACATTTATATGCACCGGTTTTTGATTCCCAGTTAAAACAAATCACGTCTGTATTTTCATCTCTCGGGAGTGAAAAACGTCCAATCTCATGCTTTTTTGATGACCACCTAAAACTGCTTTGTAAAGTCAAGAGGGCCTGGTACAGTCTCTGATAGCATGAAGGGTCTGGTCTGGTATTTTCCAAAGAACCTACCAAATATAGGTGCCCATGGCGTGTAGGCGTCTTTGAAATTCCCAGCCCTTGTTTTTTAAAATCTGAGCATGGGCCGTTTCAGGGTTACCCCAGTCTTGCGTTACATGGGGAGTGATTTATTTTCCTTCCTGTTACTTTTGTCACCAAGGAATTGACCTGTCTGTGGCCTGCAGCAGTTGTGCATCCATTGAAATGTACTAAACTCTGTGTTTGGTCATGCACCAGGGGGATCTTTTGCCCATGCATGTCAGGAAATTAACTTCCTCCTGATTCTGCACTATGCAACTGTCAAGTCACTTCCCAGCACAGCAGGAGCAATAAAAGGAGGTCCCATGAAACATCACACCTAATGAGTGTCCAAATAAAGACTGTAAAACTTGGCACGTGGGAGGTCGAAAAGCGATATTCAGAGTATATAACCATATAGGAGCAAGCAGTCAGCACAGCAGGAAATCCGTGCAATCAGCAGACTTTTACAGGCTTGTATAGATTTCATGGGAAATTTGTATGGGCCCTAAGGAAATTATACAAGCCGTGGCATGCTCACCTTTGGTTTTCAATTCTCCTCCCGTGTATGTGCACACTCGCACGCTTTACAATGCACGAGAGTGGAATCCACGCCGTAGATTTAGGGTCCTTTTCTTGGATGATGATAGCACCCAGGAGCCCCCATGGTGGCCCCGAATCCCATCACGCTTGCTGCTGTACAAAGACAGAACAGAAAGATGATCCCTGTGCCAAAGCGTTGCAGTCTAAGGGTACGTCTACACTACATGCCTCCGTCGATGGAGGCATGTAGATTTGTTTGTTTGGCAAAGGGAAATGAAGCCGCGATTTAAATAATCGCGGCTTCATTTAAATTTACATGGCTGCCGCGCTGAGCCGACAAACAGCTGATCAGCTGTGTGTCGGCTCAGCGTGCTAGTCTGGATGCCCCCCTGTCGAAATGAAAGCCTTTTATCGACCTCCCCGGTAAACCTCATCTTACGAGGCATAACGGGGAGGTTGATAAAAGGCTTTCAGGTCAGCGCGGAGCGTCCAGACTAGCGCGCTGAGCCGACAAACAGCTGAGGCGACAGGGGAGCGTCCCGATTGCCTTGATCTGCCGACAAACAGCTGATCGGCAGAGCGGGGGAGCCATTTAAATTTAAACGAAGCTGTGATTATTTAAATCGCGGCTTCATTTCCCTTTGCCTATCTGTCTAATCTACATGCCTCCATCAACGGAGGCATGTAGCCTAGACACACCCCACATGTAAGACGAGTCCATGGCTAGAGACAGAGACCAAGAGGGCCGGCCTTACCGTGAGGCGAACTGAGGCAGCCCCCTAGTGAGGCTCC